ATATGTTGTCTGTTGAAGAGAAACTGGAAGATGGAAAATAATTAACCTTAGGCTAAGGAATCAATTAAGGTACACTGAATCCATTGCTAGGTCAGCTTGCCAGTGCTCGGCGGTTTTTCTCTCTAGAGTCTATATTACATATCTATATGCCTAGGAGGAGACACGGTGAAGTAATGGATAGCGGCTTGGATTTAGGAATCGGAGAGCTGAGTTCGAATTCCAGTCAAATCCATTACATTCACTTACGTGCTAGAACCCTTGGGAAAGGTATGAATCTTCTTCTTCTCCGCCCAGCTATGGATAAATAGCAGGACAAACCGGATTCTATAGCCTTGGATGCCAACTGGTCTACCGCAGAAAGAAATGGCAAACTACTGCGGAAAAAAACTGTCTCGTCAGTCATGTATCGAAAGATACATGATCGCCTAAGCGTGTATTACGCATGGCACATAACTGACTGATAAGTCTGCCATTCGACCATGTTTTAAATATTTCTGCTATATATGATCCGGTGCTCCTGTTATCTATCTAGAGCTCCTTGATAAAATTCAAAGAAGATTCAAAAATATTATTTGCCCCGATGTGGCATCTCGTGTTCAATTAATTTCCCACCGCCGTAAAGTTGCCTTCCTTTTGACTTTTCTATAAATGTTAACTGTTCGGATCAGTTCTTCTCAATGGTTCTTAGACTCTTCAAATTTAAACACGGTACAAGACTGGCGATGGGGCTGTGCCAATTTACAGCTTAGCAGGTTACATATAACCGTAAATTCTATACTAAAAAATTATCTTCTCGCACTTTTCTCTTGTGGAACTCCCTTCCGACTCCATGCTTCCAAACCAACTTTAATCTGCTAAAATTTAAATACAATATCAATTACTCTTCCTCTGTTCTCACTGCTTAACAATCTTCCTGTTTCTAACCCTTCCAAACCCAGTAACCCCTTGTGTCTTCATGACTTTACTGTTTTGCTTGGGGTGATACCGATTAAAAGAATCATGTACAAGCCCACGTATCAATTCTATCACGATGCTCCATTTTCGGTCTAATCTGGTAAAGATTGAACGTAGAAAGAATAAGCAGTTACTTACTAACTGGAGCGGTACAAAGAGCCGATCATTTTCCAGCCTCTTTAGTTATAGATCGTATATACAAGTTCCACTTGAGGTCTGGGGGAGAAACTTGAGTTTCAGTAGGAGCTCAAAGCAAGGAACCTACTTCAAAGTAGACCGTTAAATTACATCTACCTATCTTAGTCTGTTTCTATCTATCTATCTATCTATCTATCTATCTATCTATCTATCTATCTATCTATTTATCACAGTCTGTTCGCATCTATCTATCTATCTATCTATCTATCTATCTATCTATCTATCTATCAATCACAGTCTGTTCGCATCTATCTATCTATCTATCTATCTATCTATCTATCTATCTATCACAGTCTGTTCGAATCTATCTATCTATCTCAGTCTGTTGTCATCTATCTCTATCTATCTCAGTCTGTTCGCATCTATCTATCTCAGTTTGTTTATATCTATCTATCTATTTCAGTTTCTCTCTCTATCTACCTATCTATCTCAGTCATTCACGTCTATCTATCTATCTATCTATCTATCTATCTATCTATCTATCTATCTATCTATCTTAGTCTGTTAACATCTATCACATTCTGTTCGCATCTGTCTATCTATATCAGTTTGTTCACATCTATCACATTCTGTTCGTATTTATCTATCTCAGTCTGTTCATATCTATCTATCTATCTATCTATCTATCTCTCTATCTATCTATCTATCTATCTATCTATCTATCTATCTATCTATCTATCTATCACAGACTGTTCGCATGTATCTATGTATCACACCAGAAAGAATGAAGTACTTTCTACTGTAGCGGAAGGAACCGATCATTTTTCTAGCCTCTTTAGCTATCGTTCGTACATACAACTTCGACTGAGGTCTGGGGGTTGGGGCTTGAGTCCCAGTAGAGTCTCAAAGCAAGTGGGGGTCTAACTGAGAGTAGATCTCTGTTCATCATGACAGGAGAAAAAGTGGTATCTACCCAGTGATGCTGAAACGTTACTAGTCACCCTGTGTTGGTTACTACCTAGATTTTTCCCTATTGGCCTCTTAGTTATTAATGGCACAATTATAATGATTGATCCTTGAAAAACATGACAACTGGTTGCACCTCTTTTTACACTTACTACTGACTCAGCAAATCAGATAACTATGGGAGAGTGCTTTGCCCAAATTCTCATTAAGCTGTTTGGCAGCAAAACACCAAGGAGAGTTTTCTGTCAACATATTTGCCGAGAGAAAAACATGCCAGGTATACCGATTCCATTTGCTTTGCTTCACCTCTTCTAAACGGAACATACCGGCGCCACGACTTTAGTCTCAATAAGCGGCTGTCCCTCTTAGACAAATTTGGTGAAAACACCGGTTCCCGTACGATCACCGATGGTAACTAACGTCGAGTCTGCTCTGAATCGAAATGGGTCGACCTGATGCTGTAAACCTGGATGTGCGGGTGGTGTAATGAACAATGGCTCAGAATTAGAAATCGAAGAGATGAGTTTCAATTTCAGTTGGGTTCGTTATATTATGCGCAAATAACCCTGGGAAAAATCCTGAATCCACCTCTTCTACCCCAGCTATGGGTTAATTAGTAAGCCTTGTATCGCTAAATTATTAGTATCTCCAAAAAATTCTTACAATCTAAAAATATTTATGGCTTTAAATAACCTGCAATGGGTTGATAAGCCGTAAAAAACCAGTCAACCATTTAAACAAATTTGGATAAAAAAAGAAGACAAAATACATTTGATCCAGTCCTTACAAAACTAGTTGTATCCATTGTAACCAATTTCATATTTAAGAGGAAACCAATGCATGCTTTATGCAATTCTTGAAAATTTAAACCAGCCCTTGAATGAAATAAAAGCGCCCAGCACATCAGGCCTCTATCTAACTCCCACCCGGGTTCTACATATAGTAATAATTTGCATATGTGTAAGCAGTTGCATAAATAAGTATAATTGCATGTGTGTGTGTGTGTGTAGATCTGTCCATGTGCGTACGAGTGTGTATTTATGCATGTATCTGTGCGTGTGCATGTATGTGTGTGTGTGTCGTAGCGAATGCATTACGATGTCAGTCTGACACATTTTTCGTTTCAGGTTTCAAAATCTAGGTTAAGGGACGACACGGAACCGCCGTTCGCTCCCGATATAGAGCTGCCTGATAATCATCCCCAGGCAAATCGCTCGAGAGTGAAACTCGACACCAAGTGGCGGGCGGCGGGTGGGGTGGTGAGTGTGGAGTGGGGACAGGGTCTGGCGTATGCATCGATATGTTCTTAAGAAAAGATGAGGGAGGAGACTGGTATGAAAAAGAAATGCAAAGAACTGTTTTCGACAGGGAGGGACACAACACAGTAAGGGGGAGGAAAGAAAGAAAGAAAGAAAGAAAGAAAGAAAGAAAGAAAGAATGGATGGAGAAATTAGAGAGAGAAATAAGTTAAAAGAAAAGAATGAATGAAAAAAGAAGAAAAGACCAAAAGAAAGTAAAGAATAAAGAAAGCAAAAAATAAATTAGTTGAAAGAAAGAAAAGATAGAAAATGTTGTTTGCACAATTGAGAAAAAGAATAATTAGTTAACCGACAAGTTCGCGGATGTGCGGGTGGTGTAATAGACACCGACATAGAATTAGAAATCGAAGAACCAAGTTCGAATTCCAGTTGGGTTCGTTAGATTCACTTTTACGCGCGAATACCCTTCGGAAACGTATGAATCCATCTATTTATTCTATCTATTCGTTGAATAGCAGGACAGGCTAGGTCCTATAGCCTTGGATGGCAAACCACTCTACCGCAGAAAGAAATGACAACCTACTGCGGGAAAATCTTCTGCCTCGTCAGCAATGAATCAAAAGAGACATGATCGTCATGCACTTCAAACCATATAGTACTTAACTGACTGATTAACCGTGAAGATCAACTTTCGGATTTTTAGCTTCTATGTTGACTCAAACAGCGTCCATTAGGAAATGAAGTCCACATATTTTCAACGAAACAACCTTTCATGGCCCTGTACTGTTGAGCATTATTTAGTTTTTTTAGCGTTATGTACCTTTGCCTATATCGATGCTATCGAGCACTTTTTTCTGGTGGAATATGAGCGGAATGAGAATGGTTCCCCCCCCTCTAATAGGGCATTGATCGTTTTAGCAGGTAATAGTATGAACAGGCGGAACTAGGGAATGTACCTTGTGAGAATATTTTCCGTGGAAATAGCAATAGGGTAGAGAAAGATTTGCAGCTATTGAAAAGAGTGGAAATAGTTCATCACCTACGAGGTCGTGAAAACGCTTTTGGTACGCAGACAAGATTGGAAAGTGAGAAAGGTTAGAGATTTTTTTTTTCGAACTCTAAATTCAAACCCGTGACGAAAACAACGGGGAATTACTCTTCTGTCTTTCGCAAGAAGTCATAGAAAGAAAAGAACACTATCTAAGGAGTCGAATGAGATAGGAAACCTTTATAAGTCTAAGATGTTTCGGTTTTATAAAAGCTGCTTCTTCTTCTTCTTCTTCTTCTTCTTCTTCTTCTTCTTCTTCTTCTTCTCTGTTTTTGTCTCTATTTTCAGTATCATTATTAGTTACTTTGGAAAAAATAGTCTAATTTGGTGGTCGATGAGGTAGTTAGGAAAACCATCATTAACTAGTGTCTTTTTTTGCATTATTAAGCTCTTTAAGGATTTTTTTTATGTCTGCCATTTTATATCTATTTGGTCATTCACCCCTAAAATTAAGTTGGAAAGAGTTTTTGCTACTGAGTTTTTTAGACAATGAAGTGGTGAATGTGTTGTTACTCTATTCTACGGGAACGTCTAAGAAAGGTAGTTTTTTTTTTTTTTTTACTCAGTTCATAAGTAAAGTTAAGGACATTGTATTTTTCAAATGTGGTTTTGAGGTTATCTATGCCTTGTTTGTTTTTCACTCAAATAAAAATATTGTCTACGTAGCGAACATATATTTTGGGTTTAGTGACGGGTTTAAATATCATGTATTCTACATGAGACAAGAATTCTACATGAGACATGTATTCTACATGAGACATGTATTCTACATGAGACAAGTAGTAATTAGAGAAGCAAAAGCCAGGCAGAATTTTCCCATGTATTAGAGAAACCAAAATTCCTTTAACATCTTTCGAAGCCTATATATACTAACTATATTTTCATAACTAAAATAATGCAACATTATTTGTTATTATTACTCTAAAAGTTATATTTAGCTGATAAGTTATTTACATTATTCGAACTATTCTCCTCATCTTTGTCGCCATATTTATAACAACGTTTCGGGCATTCTACGCTCCGGCCTTCTTCAGGTGGTTGGAATGTCGAACTGAACCCTTTATTTCGCTGATTGGGGTAGACTGTTCTAGTTCCACGTGCCATGTTTAATGGATGTCAGTTATCAGTTATCTCTGTTAATTAGCAATTAAGGAATCAGCACGTATGCTAGGCCACAAAAATCTCCTGAGCCGACCAAGCATAGAAATAAATACAATATGGGAACCAGTAATAAGGAGTGCCAGAGGAAAGCGATAATAACAACAAAGTTGCAATATGAGCTCTGGTAAAAAATGCAATGATAACAGCAAAAATTGCAATATGAGCTCTAATAAAAAGGTTATGAAGACATTAGGTTTATAATACCCAGATACATACGCCGACGTCCTCAAGGGTACATGGCACAGTGGATAAAAGCGTTGGTTAGATCTAGTGACAAGACCCAAAGAGTGTGAGTTCAATACCCGGTGAAGGCAGTGGAGAACTTTCAGAGGGAAAATCTTTCGAGATTCTTTATAAAGAGGATACGCTCTAAACAGTAGTTTCTTATAAATAAAGGGGATTTCCGATTCGAACCCTGCAAAAGGGTCATATTTTCTTTATATACACACACCTCCATCCCTCTCTCTCTCTCTATATATATATATATATATATATATATATATATATTCTTCTGCAAATTATTTGAAACGAAACGAATAATTCCATTATTATTTAATTCTTTTTCATATTTTTCCAGTGAAACATGGCTCAGTGCACATGTTATTACTTCATATGTCCATTCCACGAAGTCGTTCCTTGCAGATTAACAACAGATTTTCGATTGGATATAAATCAGGTGAGATTCCGGGACAGTCTATAGTATTTTGATTTGCTCACTGGTAAGGCTTGCCAGTGTGTTTATGCAGCGTTACAATTTTCGTACGCTTCCTTGGAGTAACGTCCATCGCAGACAATGGCCGTAGGACAACTAATCGACAGTCGAAACAATAGTATCTAGGCGTGATCACGGATGACGCAATATTTTCCAAGGCTAAACAAATTTTATCATACACCCCGAAAATAGATTCATATTACTGCACACCACTGCAAATGACCTAATCTGAGGAAAAAAATAGAAATCGATTACACCCTGTCACTCTAGTGGGCCTAAAATTGACCGTATATTGAAAGAAAAGAATATTGTTTCAGTTAATTTACACAAAGGTCATAATTTAGCTCTTGAAACTATATTTTCAATTGAGCACTGTTGAATGACATGCTAATCCTAAAAACAACAGCCACCTACGTAAATGCGAAGCTCTTCAGTAAAATGAATGGACCACTTTGGCTGCTTGGCGTTTGCTTACATTTGTAAAACAAATAGGCTAGATTTGGCTGACTCATTCGGTCGAGTGAAGATAGCTCAGTGGTAGAGACTCTGACTGACAATAAATCGGTTGGGTTTCAATCCGGGTTTGAGGCATTCGGATATCTAATCGCATTGAATAGCTGCGAAACAGTAGTGTCTGCGAATGACGCGCTTCCTCCAATGTGGACTTTTTCAAGGCAAAAAACGAAATGAATTTATTGCCAAAACTGTTCCTCACAACACATTGGAAAAACATGCAGAAATTTTTTAAAAAAATGCATTTGTGAACACAAAAGAGACCGTATGAATAAAAAGTTGGTAAACACGCTGGTCATATATAGAAATAAATTCTACCACAATTTTGGTTTTTAAAATGCTACACCCATAAAAAAAGAAAATTCACTCAAATGGAAAATTTTAAGAGTGCCGCCATTGAATATTATCCAAATATTAATATACGCCCCGGTTTTTTTCCTAATCTCACCTTTCCTAACCGAATCCATATGAAAAATTCTCTTCAAACATAAAAAGTAAATGGCATAATTTTTCAGTTGACGGAATGAATAGATATGAGCGTTTCTAAATTCTTCTAGTAACAACATTGTGCTTATAGATACTTTGTTCAAATAAATTCATTTCGTTTTTTGTTGTTTTTTTTTTGGTTGTTTTTTTTTGTTTGTTTTTTGTTTGTTTTTTTCTTTGAAAGAGTCAACATTGGATGAAGCCCACCGGCTACACACAAATTTCCTATTGTCTTTTATCTTTTATAAATTTTGCCTTTTTCTACAAATTAATTCTGAATTTATATATATATATATATATATTGCAATGAATCATTCATACAAAAAGTAGATCAGTAAAATGGAGAAATCCCTTCGCTAACAAAATTTTAAAGGTGCATTAACCTACAAATCACTCGATGAATGCTATGATCCTTGTTTTTAAAAATTATAAACTCTATAAGGTCTTTCTTTAATACGCAAATACTTTCAGCTGTACATTCAATCCTCAGGCATGGAAATTATTTTGTTTTTAAACTGAGAGTTCCTGATATTATCAGTTTGGAGGGGGATGATCTCAGTGTGCGTGGCACCTTTTGAAAGTGACTGAAAACCATACCACGGTTTGACCTAAGTCATCGTGACCGAGGATTTGAGTGTGTTGGCCTTGTTCAGATTGTTGATCACGCTAGATAACACGCTGTCTCCCAGAAACTGTAACTAAGGTCTGCTCAGCATAGTTGCAGTATAAACCTCAGGTGGGCTCTGTGGGTGATGAACATACAAAAATGTGCCTGAGCGTGTGTCTGCAATAGGGATTGACTAACCGCCCTAGTACACGGGTATCCTCAAATGCAAGTGGCCGGCTATTATATATAAGAGCAAATACTGTTTCATCACAAATCAGTCACCCATACCATCGTATTTCTGTTTTTTTAGGCCAGGAGTTTTTTTTTTTGTTTTTTTTTTTTAATTACAGTGTCGGGAGATTAGTAATAAATAAACATTATCTATATGTGAATGCATGCATGCGTGTTCGCGCCCGTGTGTTTTAGATCAGGAGGTTTATAGCCTGGCATATTCAGTAGCTGAAATTTGCTCTTAATCATTGTATAATGTTCCAGAGGTTTAAATATCTGGGAAGGAAGTGTTT